TGTATTTATATGTAAATATTAGCTCTAGATTGTTAATTTTATATAACTTGAATTAAAAATTGAAGTAGCAGTATCTGTAAAAGTTCTTAATATTTCTTTACATTTTCGTACTACACTTATTTACAAAATTTATAGGTACGGAAGTAGAAACTGAGTAATATTCGTAATATTTGATAAATTACAAATCGCAGTATATCCAGCAAAAAATATATGTTAATAGTATTTTACATACTAATAGCATTTTACATACTGCATACAGTCAGGAACAAAAGTATTGGCACATCTGGCTTTTAATTATACATATAAACGCGTATAAATCAAAGAGAAAACGCAATACTGGGTTAATTTTTGTATTAATCATAACTACTGAATCTATAATTTTAGGATATTATACATATTGCATCTTGGTTAATTACATAACAAAGAAAAATTATAAACTGTACATTAACAGCAATTTTTACTGAAACAAAAGTATTAACTCATTAAAATAACATGCAGAGTGAAATTTTTATAATGTTGGTATGATGTACGTATACTTTCGGGGAACTCCCTGGAGTCGATAACATTCATCTGTTTATTAGTTGGTCAATTATTTTTAGAAGTTAACGTGAAAACGTGCAAAATGACAGAAACGACTGTTAAACAACGAAAGAAAATATTAAATTTATTTAATTAAGGACATTCGTATTCGTCTATAGCAAATGTAGAGAACAGAAATTGTCTTACATTTGGGAGTATTATTAAACGATTTTCTAATACGGAAAATTGTCCAAGCGCTGCGCGATCTGGTCGTCCTGAAACGTTGAGTGTGCGAGAAAAAAGAAAAATTATTAATATTGCTCAAGAAAAACCCAGCAGTTCCGCCTCGGAAATAGCAGCGAATGTAAACGAAACATTTAACAAAAATATTCATAAAACAGCTACTCGTCGAGTATTGAACAATGCAGAGTATCAGTCGGGTGTTGCGAGACGAAAGCCAACTATCAATAAAATTAATCGGGATAAAAGATTAAAGTTTGCGAATGATTACATTACAAGGAAAAATGACTTTTTGAGCACTGTGCTATTTTCTGATGAGTCTAAATTTAACATTTTTAAAAATAATAGGTGCGAATTTTAGTTTGAAGACGTCCTAACACCCAACTAGAGTCAAAGAATGTACAGGGTGTAAAAAAATTAATGGTCACGGCTTCAGGGAGTGAATCTACACCCTTGGTTCGGTGGACATTTGTAAAAAAAAGTTTTTGCAAAATTGTTTATAACATTGAAAATTAATGTAAAATTTTTTTTTACATCAACGTATTCTGCTCGACGAGAAGAGAAAAAGTCAGAAAGGAGCCATATGCCGCAAACAAATAGTTTCCGAGATAAACGTTGATAAAGTTTGGCAACGATTTAATTGTGTATAGAGCTATACGTATAGGACCTACTGACCTACTAACCTACTAACACTCTGCCATTTGGTAGGATCTAGCCCTGTAGGACACGCTCGATATAATGTGTGCGTGCACCTACACAAACGCCGTTTAAAGGGACAGCAAGGTCTAAACTCGAAGGCAGGCCTGAACCAAGCGGCGTTTATGTAGGGGCATGCACACCATTATACCGAGCGTGTCCTACACGGCTAGATCGTACCAAATGGCAGAGCGTTAGTAGGTCAGTAAGTCAGTAGGTCCTATACGTATAGCTCTATACACAATCAAATCGTTGCCAAACTTTATCAACGTTTATCTCGGAAACTATTTGTTAGCGGCATATAGCTCCTTTCAGACATTTTCTCTTCTCGTCGAGCAGAATACGTTGATGTAAAAAAAAATTTTACATTAATTTTCAATGTTACAAACAATTTTGCGGAAATTTTTTTTTTACAAATGTCTACTGATATAAGGGTGTAGATTCACCCCCTGAAGCCGTGACCATTCATTTTTTTACACCCTGTACAGAGTATACTGTGAAACACGAGAGTGGTGGGGTAATGATTTTGAGTTGCATAAGCTCAAGCGGTGTCGGTGAACTTGTCTTTATTGACAGTACAATGGATCGATGTATTTATTTGGATACTTTAAAGAATAAAATTTATTTTCCAGTAAGACAACGACTCCAAGGATACCGATTATTTAGTACGGAAGTGGATCGTTTTTAATACCCCACATACGTTACCAACCCCACCACAATCCCCAGATTTGAACCCAATTGAGCATCCTTGGGCTTATTTGGAAAAATGTGTGCGAAATTACTACATAAGAAATAAACAGCAATTGAAAGACGTACTGATGATGGAATGGAATAAAATAAGCCCAGAAACTACAAAAAAATTGGGACATTCAATGCCAAGTCGATTAAAGGCAGTTATAAACAATAAGGGGTTACACACGAAATATTAGACACATAAATTAAACAATAATATGATATAAATTTATAAGTGTGCCAATACTTTTGTCTCAGTAAAAACTACTATTAATGTATATTTTATCTTCTTTTTTTTTTTTACTATGTAATTAACCAAGATGCAATATGTATAATATCCTAAAATTATAGATCCAGTAGTTATGATTGATAAAAAAATTAATCCAGTATTTTGTTTTTCCTTTGATTTATAAACGTTTATATAATTAAAAGCCAGATGTGCCAATACTTTTGTTCCTGACTGTATGCATTTTAATTTCTTTGAAAAATGAAGTGTAAGTAGCATATACAGGGTGAGGTATATAAAGCGTGACAGCTCGGTATTATTGCAAATATTGGTGATCAAAAGAATGTCGTTAAGAAAACCTAAAGTATTCTAGGGGACAAATTTTTTCACGTAATTTAATTTTTTGTATACGATAGGGTGAAAGACATTTCAATGTCATCACCTTCTTTTTTTAAATGGAACTGTATATTTGTTAATACACGTACGTATAGTCCACATCAAGACGAATCCAACGGTTATAGTCACTCGAGGTCAATCAAGGTCACAGGTGAAAAAAAGTTGTCTTTCCAACAGCATCTATTTGTAATATTAATCGTTTGAGCAGATGCTTCGTCTCAGATTTGTAAACATTTCGCAATTGTTTTTTTCTTTTTTGCTTAACAACATCGTTACGTTGTTTCAAAACATTCTTGTCTTTAGTTGTAGCGTAATTATTGCAAAGCACTTATATTCGTGAAAACTGAGTGAGTTTCAAGAAGCTTTCGATATGTTTATGTTGTTAGGCGAGTGCCGAAAAAATTGCAGCACGGTTGTACTCTGAACGTTATCCTAATCGTTTGCTTAAATCACGAATGGCGTTCTGGATACTGGAAAGAAAAACTAAAAACTAAATATTAATCCACATTCAAGTAGCAGACGCATAGCAGTAGAAAGTTGAATTAGTCAAAGGTCTGTATTAAGAATTTTACATTATGAGTGTTTTCATCCTTATCGCATTTCTTTACCTCAAGAGCTAATCGAAAGTGATTACATGAAACAAATACATTTCTGCATTTGTGGATAAATGAAAAAATGGATCGAGACAACTCATTCTTAACAAATATACTGTCTTCTGACGAAGCAAGTTTTATAAATATTAGAAATAGGAACCGGCATAATATGCATTATTGGTCAGGGGAAAATCCCCGATGGTTAAGAACTACTCCATTGCAGTATCCATGGTCCATTAATGTTTGGTGTGGCAGCATTTTGTGAAGATCGTTTAACAGGGCAAATGTATGCAAATTTTCTACGAGACAAACTTCCACAGTTAGTAGAGGAAGTACATACCTCTAAATGTGCATCTTACAATGTGGATGCAACAGGTTGCCCCACCATACTATGCTGCTGCATGTTCGAAAGGAGTAATGCATGAAATGTTTCCTCAAAAATGGATAGGACGCGGATACCGAGTACCATAGCCACCGCCTATAGTAATACCGGAGATCTTGAATAGAGTGCGATTATTCTTTTGCCATAGGATCACGAAATGTTTACAAGTAAGAGGCCAACATTTCGAACATCTGCTGCAATGATTGTAAATACTGTAAATAAGAAATATTGTAGTATTAAAAATAGACGCAGTTAGAAAGACATAACAACTTTTTTCTTTTTACCTGTGATCTTGATTGACCTTGAGTGACTATAACCGTTGAATTCGTCTTGATGTGGACTATACGTACGTGTATTAAAAAATATACAGTTCCATTTAAAAAAAAAAGGTGATGACTTTGAAATGTCTTTCACCCTTTAGTATACAAAAAATTAAATTACGTGAAAAAATTTGTCCCCTAGAATACTTTAGGTTTTCTTAACGCCTTTTTTTTGTGTCACCAATATTTTTGATAATATCGAACTATCACGCTTTATGTTGCCTTACCCTGCATACATATAGCAGGAAGCATCCAATTTTATATGTGTGCAATATTATTTTTTAAATGTGAGAATAAATTATTATTTTATAGAAGATCTTGCATTGTAGAGCCGTGTCCTACAGCAAAGTAAGATTTTCAATTATTGGCAATTTTATTCCGGAAAATTCAATGCAAACTGTGTAACAACATACTTATCCCTTTGTCCCAGTGTTTGTTTCATAAAGGAGAAAAGAATATTCACAAATGTTTTGAACTAGCAATTATTATTGAGATACAGCAGCAGCTCATCATGACTACAATTAATAAGAACATTTGTTTTGACATATAAAATTTCACGGTATAACTATGAATAACAATTTTGTTATTTTGATTGTTCTGACAGTCCACTAAGAAACCCATGGCAAAACGGCGCAGATTCGCAGGTATGCAAATCAAAATATGAGATTCTGGAACTTTTCCTTCTTTTGAAAGGGTTGATGGTAGGCTGCTATTAGCAGTTTATGCCACGTCTTACTATTATAGTTTATTTTAAAATATTAATTTACGTTGCACACATTATTTTTCGTAGTATTAAAAAAATATTGTTCTTATTTTAATGGGCACTATTATTATTTGCTTACAATTAGTAGCATTTTTACAGTGAAGCGGTAACAAATGTAATTATTAAGTAATTAAGCTATTCTTCAAAATACGTGAAAAGTCAAGTGATTTATAATATATTTAACATTATCTGCTTTTTAAAATTTGTAAAAATGTAGATTAGTTATATTTCAAATGTATTTTAAAAAATACACTTTCAAATTATTTTGGATATTAGCATAATAATTCAGGTTAAAAGATATTACTCTGTATTGAAGTTTTTGATCCTTTGATAAAAATAAAAATTATATTCTAAATTTATTCGTATTAAAACATTGTATAATTAAAGATTCTAAAATTTCTTAAAAATATGTTCAACAATCATTTTTTATTCTTAGCTAATTTAAGTTAAGAGCTATTATAATGTGTGTGTCCCCAGAAAAATGTTGCACAGTGTTTAGAACTCATTAGCTTTATACTTTATTTGATTATCATAATGCATTTTGGATGTCTTGCATCTTGTCTGTCCTATACATATACCAATAGAGATCAATTATATATTTTTATTCCCAATTACATCAAATCTTACAAGTTATAAAATTTAAAAAATATTATTTATACTAGTATGAAGTACAGTAATATATTCACCACATAATTTTCCAGTACATCAGTGACTTATGGATAATAAGGAAATTAATCAATTTTTCTAAATCAGCTATTCACTTATAGAAAGCGTGTTATTGTTTGTATAGATATAGAACATTTGTACAATGATGAACAAAAGTTTATAACATTACCGATGTGGAAAGGAGCGATGCGAAGATGATGGGTATCAAAGAACATGCATAGCTACATGTGGATCAAATTTTGCGAACACAAACACTGGGGTAAAGGGCACACTATGAAGAAATTTTATGTTATCAAATTAATTATATGATTTTATATTGATTTAAGTCGTTGATAGTTTTTCATCATTATTGTTTTGGTACATTTGCATCGCTTTTGCTCTTATATGTTTTAATTAACTTTTTTTTACAGATGGTTCACATGGATGTTGGACAAAACATACTATATTTTTTTTAGCAGCCACAGTATTTAATAAGAAACGTGCTTATATAACAAATTAATATTGTTCTGCTATATTGTTAAGTTCATGCTGTTTGATCTATATTTTGTGATATTATGTCATGAAAAGAAAATAATTGAAGAACAATAATTTAAGTGCAATTAGTTTTGTATTATTAAGTCTTTTCATTTTTTTGAAAATTCGAATAGCATGAATATTATTCACTTATTTATATTTTTGCTTGTAGTAACATCTATATGTGTAGATACATATGCAACAAATATTTTACTAACTAACATCTTTAATATTGCTTTTATGTATGGTGATGGTTTCTGTTCAGTATAATTTTAACATTGTGTGCTAATTTATTGCTTTATGTTCTTAATATTTTACATAGTATTATTTGCAAACAAAAAACATACAATAATACTATGCAAAATTAATATAAATAAGCACGCAAAAAGTTAATTAGATGTATACTACAAATTTTCATTTCCAGCAGATACATCCTAATCTACTTTCGTAAAATGTAAAGTCCATGCATATTAAGAGTAGCGAAATTAATAATTAATTGACTAGAAAAATAAATTTTCTATTTTGTATCTGGTGGAACAATTGTACAAAATGTAATTGTTTTGATTTATATTTATATAGCATTTTTTAAATATTATATAAAATATTAACTACATTTAATGCATTTTTCAGGGTGGTTCAGGAAAAAAATAACTTCGAAGAATAAGCTGCCTTAGCGCAGCACGGAATCAGACGATTGATGAAAGAAACAAATGAAATTACATATGCTCCAACACTATACAAACATCAATGGTAAACTTTGGTACTGAAAAGACTAATATAATGATAGAAATATTAAATATAATGTTTCTTATAAAAAGAATATCATATTTTATTATATGGAAAGAAATATAAATAATGAAACTTTTGTAGTTAGACACTAAGGAATAATAGAACTGGTGTTTGTTATGGTTACACAATAGATACAAAAATGCATAATTTAAGACTTATTAAAATTATGTATTATAAATTGTAAGACAATAGTAATTATTGTTTAAAATTTATTTCTGTTATATAAAGCACTCTCAGGTTTTCTTAAAGTCTTTATAATTTATTTAAAATTTGTTATCTATAAAATCATTTATAGAGTAAAATGTAAGTACATTATACTTAATTATTGTTGCAAAACAAATAATAAATTTTATTTTAATCAACAGCAAACACCAGAATTTTAGACAATTTTCATATTGTTAAAGTATTTGTATACAACGCTAAAATCGTTAATGAATTCATGTGCAATAAATATGTTTGTGTGATTATTTGTATAAAAAGTAATACATAGTGTGTTCAACACACAACTTTTCGAAGCAACTGTAAATGAAAAATTCACAAACAAATGATTGACTTTGCAAAATATGAAAAAAATCATGCACAAATATAGAGAATATATAAAAAATTTGTTTAGAAATATGTTTGAGTAGATCAAAATAAAATAAAGTAAATAGATAATATTAACAAATCAGTGGTTTAAATAATTTTCAAGTACGAAATTTATATGATGAGGTAGAGTAAATTATAATTAAATAATTAGGGCATTTAAAAGAGCTTTTAATAAGGTTCTCATGTGTTAGTTTATTTTACAAAAAATATTCTATAAAATATTAAACATTTGTTTCATAAAGTATAATTGTTTCGTTTTACACTGTACTTATTTATATTTTACGTTTAGAAAAGTAGAATTATTAACGAAAAGTTTATTGTTTTATTTGGAGTCAAAGAATATACAAGTTTCAATAATAATTTGTAATCATAATGAATAAGTTATTTATCCATTATTCATAATAATCCCAAGTTTCAAAATACAATCTTGATCTTCAATCAAAGATAATAGATGTGAAAGATAATAGACAAAGATAATTACAAGATTCAGTCAAAGATAATAGACAATTTTAATTTGTTTTTTGGTTAATGCAGTTATAAAATAAAATAAAAATATTTATTGCAGTTATAATATAAGATCAAAAATATTTAGTTTTTATATTTTTATTAAAAAATGATCAAATAACTGTAATACTAATATTTAATCACCCGAGTACGCATCAATGTGTTTTTGCTTGTAAAATGCATTGCTTAATCCAGGTACATGCAAAGCGTAAATACACCGAGTCTCATCCACTTTGCCCGATACCTTAGCCTAACGCAAACGCACAACGGCGGTGGCTCTATGTGAAACGGCTTCGTACGCCCTTTCACATAGAATTACCTTTGCCGTGCATTTGCGTTAATTCTAAGGACTCGACAAAGATCGATGAGATTCACAAAGAGAAGTCTCAAGATGTAACGCTTTTTGATGATCCTTTACACAGTAGATACTGGTCAAGCTATCCCCATTACTTTTCGGTTCTACACTACCACCGCTTAAGGGGAAGTTGCAGTATAGGTAAGTACTTAAAGGTTCAGAGGAATGGTTTTCAATCAGCTGCCGATAATAAATTATCAGGAAACTTTTAAAATTGCATCGATTATTGTTTGAAAAGTGTTGCGTGTAAATTACAAGAATGTGAAGAAGACTCGATAGTTAACACGTTCGCTGTCACCCATGCAGCATATTTGGTCCAGAATGTATTGCCCAATGTGCTATCGATTTTCTGGTATCAGCGAACGTGTTAAAAATAATGCAGGACTATGACCGCCATCGACAAAAATTTCTGATTAAAATGAAAAAAACATGCCACCACAGATTGACCGATTGTTGCCGCGCCACGAAAATCAGCACGTGACTATTCACGAAAGAGTAAGTGCGATAGTCTTACTCTACTGCCATTGGCTGATTAACAAAGAAGACGTCACAATTTTTCCTGATCTCCCACTTCTAGACTTTAAGGCCCACCTGAAACTTCATCCTTGCTTTGTTAATCTGAAGGCGTCTATGCATAGACATTTTGTGGAAAGACTGATTTACGTTTGATTATAATTATTATAAATGTTTGTTAAACTTACAAGCTTTATTGTATATATGTATTTATATATTTTAAGGCCCTATTAATAAAATTGTAGTTTGTAACTATTCTCTTATTGTTTTTACCTTCTGTTTTTCAAAAAATGGTAAATTTAGAAGTATACAAAAAAAAATTAGAAAAGATTCATCAGTATGCTCGCGAAAATGGTATTTCCGAAACTGAAGTCGATAAATCTTTACAAAATTGTTTTCATATTCTTGAAAAGAAAGAAAAAAAATGTTCTATCTTCTTTTGTGTAAAAAACATGATTATAATTTTATTCACAATAGTTATGTGCTTTATATTTTTTGATCACAAATTTGTAACAGTTACACTATTGAGGAATTTGCAGAATTCCATTTATCCAGGGTTAAAATTAGTTAGAAAAATAGCTGTACCAATAATTCAACATTATCCTTCTTTATCTGGTATGTAGGTAATATTGTTTATTTTAAATTAACGTTATTAATAAATTTCATACAAATCTTAAACTTTATCATTTTTTTAATGTTTTGTTACTATTAAAATTATGTTGTTCTTATGAATTTACCAATGTTAATACTGTGTATCATAATAGCATAGTATTACCTATACATACAAAATAAAATGTAAGTTATCAGAAAACCATGTATAATAAAAGTATATTAGAATATCAAAGATTAGTATTTTTTTGATTCTACTTACATTATTTGATATAAAGTAATGTACAATAATGAAACTTTGGAAGTATGTTACAATATAATTCAAATGTTATATTGTGAATAACATATTGAAGAAGTTTTCTTTTCTATTAAAATTTTGTATTGTTTTTATTCGATTTATCTCATTTATATCTTTATTTTTTAGAATTGTATGATGAATGGTGTATATTGGAAAATCCATATTTTTATGTGAACGATATGGATTGTTGGCCCTGCAATGTTGTACATTTTATTCCTGACTTAACTAATCATCATATATGTAGATCATTTAATCCTGGAATTCCTTATACAAAAACAGAAAATATTTCAGAAGTTCATATGGAAAATGTACAACAATTATTGTGGGAACATTCAGAAATATTTGAAAAAGATGCTATGAATGTATTTTCTAATAATTTAACTTATAGGTAATATATATGAAGTAAAGTAATAGAGATATATTAAATAAAAGAAAATAAAAATATGTTTTTCTGGAATAAAAAAATATATTATTTTAGAAATATTCGAGATATTATGGAAAATAAAACAGGTTTAAATCCTTCAAATAATTTAAATAACCATATTACATGGAGAATTAATCGTATGGCAGCAGGAAGGTGTTTAAGAAAATTATTTCCAAAACCTATAGACATACCAAATTGGTGGGAACAAAGTATAGAAAAATTTATTTTTTTTGATGAACCAAAATCTCCACCTTACCGTTTAGTGAGAAATTATTTTATTTTAAATTTTTTGTTTGCATGAACCATTGTTTCTTAGAAATTAATGTAAATAATAAAAATATTAGTTATTGCTTAAATAATAAAATACAATATTTTTTAGTATAATGTTATATTGTTTTATTTAACGTAGTTTTGCTATGTTGTTTCAATTATTAACAGACTACAAGAATATTGTCATGTTAGGTGTAAAATAACTTTTTAATTAACAAATTTAACTTTTAAAACTAGCCAAATCCAGAATGCAGTAATGTAGTGATAAGGTGTACAAGTGGTTCGAGATTAATAAAAATGATATCAAGTCCAGAATGTATTGCATCTTGTAAATCTTTCACAATATTATTGTCTGTTGGAAAAACATGTAAGTATTTTACGTTATAATTGATTTAACTAATTAATTCGTATTTCACTATCTAAATTATCTATTGTTAATGTAACACAGCTTCAACAAAACATTTTTAACATTTGAATAAAATTATTCTTATTTAAATGACAATATAATATTACTTAAACAATTCACTGTCAAAGTTATATTTTTTCAGTGTGGTACAATTGGTGGTATTGGCGACCCATCAGCCTTCCAGCTTTAAATTCAACTAGTATTACTATTAGCTATATGACTTCTTTTTGCTAAATTATGTCTTTAAATAATTAAGTTACTTGTACATAAGTATGTAGAATTTCATTCCACTAATATAGTTATATTACTTGTTATTTCATTCCTTTTAATTTAAATCATTTTTTTACTGTTTGATTCTGTTCAAGTCTTTATCAACTAAATTAATAATATGTTAACATTTACGTAATAACAGTTTCAATTTGTGCTCATATTATGCAATTATATTTTAGTGATAAATAATTGTTAGAAGAAAAATAATGTAGAAAAATAGGTAGAAAAATAAAAAAATTGACATACAGAATTGACAGGAAAACTAGTTTACAGGAATGTAAGAAATTTAATAGCATTGAAGTTCTGTATACTTTCTTGAATAGTGTAAGTAGTAATATTGAATACTAAAAAACTTTATTTAATGAGAAATTTAAGAGATTTTAAAGTTAATCTAGATTAAGGAATATTTTCACAGCTTATTTTGTAAAAGTTAAATCATATTGAACTTATTTCAATATTATTAATAAAATTGAAACCAAACTTCTGTTGCAAGTTTTGCTTAAATAAAACAGGTACTAATGATAGTATAGCAAATACACACAATATTATAATACTCGTCCATGACCATGCATCAGAAGATGAAGTTAAGTTTTGCAATGTTTGACCTGCTTGTATTGCAACAAACGATGGTGGAGCCACTCCAAAAAATGTGCCTGCAGCAAACGGTGCAAGAGGCACTCCAATTATAGGACTAGCTAAATTGATAAACCAATTTGGTAACAATGGAGTCATTCGAAGAAACAGCATGTAGTTGAAAAGGTGATGTTTGTGCTTCTTCACTGTTAATGTCCACACCCTTGCTTTTTCTGGGAAATATTTAAAAAGTATTCTACGTCCCAACATGGATGAGAGAAGATAACAAAGTGATGCTCCCACTGCACTGCAACTGCATACTAATACCAAAGCTAAAGGAAATGGAAAAAGAAAACCAGAAAGGATTGAAAGGAAAATAGAACCTGGAATAGCAAAAGTTTGTAAGCTGTATTGATGTTAAGGAATTCTAGAGTATCTTATAAATTGAACTTTTTGGTAATTATAAATTAACATAAAAAATGATTACATTTTAAACAGAACATTGTTATATAGATAAATTTTAAATGATTGTAATTATAGAAGATTAAATACTGAAGGATACAAAATGTATGTAATAAATAATCCAGCTAGCACTTGAAAGTAATAAAGATCTTTATATCGTCCTAAGAGTTTACCCAAATTTTTAGCATCTTCAATGTGAAATGGTAACTTCATATGTTGCTGTTCATCTCTGAAATAAATAACAAGTTTAAATGCTTTTTTACATAGTTTGTATTATAGTTATTCTTACTCTGTTAGTTTTGGAAAACTAGTGTACACGTAAAGCAAAGCTGATAAAGAGGTAATAAAAATCACTGTAACTGTTAAAACAGCTTGCTTTGTCGAAGCCTCTTTAGAGGAATCTGAAAACGTTTAAAACATTACCACAACATTGTAAACAAAAGATTGCTTAATCAGATTAACTAATGTACGAATTAACTGATAGTTAAGAAACTTTCATAGTAAATTGATAATTAACTTTATTTTGTGAAATCTATCAAAATTTATTGTTTTTATGTTTCCCAATATAAATATACTACTTCCAAATTTGATTATCACAATAATAGCTATCTATTCAATTTGTTATTTGCACTGTTACTAGTTACATGTTTTTAAAGTTTTTAAAGAAATTATATTTATGTCAATAAAATTATTAACAAATAAAATTTAGTATAAGAATTCGAAACATTAATAACTTAAAAATTGAAGCTAAATATTTTTATTTGACTTATGAATACGTAGAATTAGATTTTAAGGTTAGAACTGTTTAATTGTATTTTAATATTATTGAACATTGGTCCCTATTATAAAAAATTGTATAATGAGTGAAATGTACAAATATTTCGAAATCTGGGTACTCTTATTACAAAATTATTGATAAAAGCAAACAAAATCACAATTATAGTTAGTGCTTAAATTTCAAAATTGACTTCAATAAAAAAAATGGTAGGTAAAAAATTATTTAATGAAAAGTCAATATTCATTTTCAGAATAAAAGAATATATTCTATAAATTTATCTTACCGGTAATTTGCTTTACTTTAGTTTCTGTTTTCATAACTAGATCGTCACTGTTTTTTCACGAGTCAATTATACAGAAATTCAAGATGGCGCGAAAGTAGAAAAACTATCATTCTTTTTGTAGTAAATTTGATAAATTAGTGTTTATCTGTAAATGAGAAGTGTGAAATGTTTTTCGAGTTATGTCTAGTATTGACTAATCTTAACGTCCAATATACAGTTATTTATGTATAATTTATATAAACATTGACATAACAAAGAAAAATTAAGTCTTAAATGTAATTTTAGTTGAAATATTTATTAATAATTAAAATTACATATATTTGCTGTTTATTGCATTTGCCATGAATAGTATCTTGTCTACGTTAATTATTTTAATAACAATGTGAATTTTGACACTAATAAATTGCATAATTTCATTGACTCATTTGTCCAAGAACCATGTGAAAAAGGGATTTTATAATAAATATTGAAAAAATTAGTCAAAATATAATGAAATTAGTTTGTTAGAGAATAAGTTAGTTAAAATTACACTTATGATATATACACAACTGTTTTAAAATACTTTTTTTCGCAAATGATACGTACTACACAATAAAGTTTATTACTTGTTATGCAGCTATGTAAATTGTATGTTATTAACGAGGTGATATTTGAATAAAAATACTAAAGTTAGATGAAAGCTATTTTTAATGTTCATATTTTGATAATTATAGGATTATGATCAATAAAGTTTGTGTTACTAAAGTTAATGAAATGTTGTAGTAAAATTAATATGGCATTATTTATTTTTTATTAAAAACTATACTGTTAGTCACGATGTTTAAAGCAATGTTATTTTATTCCACCACGTGGCTCCATCTATCCTCTTTCATCTTCTTTCAATCTCTAAGTTTCTCTTCACGCTTTCTTTTTATTATCTCTCTCTTGCTTTCAAACTTCTTCTCTTTCCAAGAGAGGATCGTGGGCGGAAATTAGAATAACCAGTCTAGTCAGTCGTGTGGCGGTCGGCGGGTGGTGCGCTTCTATCTGTGGTGTGCGGAGATTTTTGAAACACCACCTTCTTTATTTGCATTTTAATATGTCTAATTATTCACGATTTCGTTCGAATGGAAAGCCCAATGATTTTTTGTGACTTTTGGATATTTTGTTGGTTGCTCTCCTGGTGATTGATTTTGGATACATCGATTGGATTACGTCATGACAGAACTGAATTTATCGAAGGCAGCGTATGTATAATTATATATACATGTATTTTTTATACAAATACGGTTTTTTATTTTAATGAATATTCCAATCATTTAAGTGTCGATTTACTTCGACTAAGTATTATTATTTTACTGTTAATCTATATGTTTCATTATGATTTTGTTGTATTACTTGCACTTATAAAATTTTGGTAATATTTCATTTATTCAACGAAATATAGTTTAAAAAAGTACTTCGAACGACGATTTCTTTCATATCTACTAACTTACGTTAAGTGTGTACGGTACGCGTGCGTGTGTGTGTGTTACGTATTTGTATGGTGCATTAAAAAGTTAAAAAGTGTTGAAAGAAAAATAGTAGAAGTAGTAGTTAAGCTAAAAAATAGTAGTTAAAATGTAACGAAATAGTATTACCCGAATTCCATATGTATATTCAATGACACAATGAACACACGGAATGTCAATGAGATTTATTAATGGTAATGCGATGATATGTTAATGGTAATTATTATGATACTGACAAATTAAGAACGAATGCGAGTGTTGATCGATTAAACTTTGTTCTATATCGCAAAACAGTTAAAAATGATTTATTATATTTATTATTAAAGAACGAGAAATCTAAAATAGTGAATACAATCTGTTAATAATAGTACAATAATTATTTGATAAAACTATTATCATGGGGAATAATAATTATACTTTTGGCCAAGTGACATACATCGTGAGCGATTCAAATCATATTTGTTCAAATAACGAACAATTTATTAATAATTATAATACTTTTGTCATTGAACTTACGCATTATTATTTGTTTGATTTTATCGCAAAAATATTACTCTTTAACGTTATGTTAAAGAATTTGAATAAAGAACGACCAAGATTTACAGTATATAATTCGGCTTGTATTACCATGATTTTATGTAGCATGCGAACTGCGTATGATTGCTACGCAATCGACAAATACATACAAGTGGCAGAAGCGCGCGCATCAAATTTTAAACAGCCCGGGAGAAATCTTTACTATAGATAGAATAGTACGCTTTCCATTTGTGAGACTCAATTTTCTACTCCTTATCGTTTCGTTTATTTAATAATCAATTAAAATCTAGCGATGCTAGTCTTAAATGTATTAAACTCTGTTCAAGAAAATCTTAATGGTTGTGAATTGAGGTTATAACGAATTTGTAATGTTCAAATGTAATTCAATGAAAATGTTCAATATCTTCGAAGTGTGCAGTTATCGAAGAGCTCGTCGTATCGTTAAAAATGCTAGGCATCAACGATTAATTAGAATAAATATCGGTAATAATCGCAGTGAAATTATGACCGAATCGCGGTCAATTGATTCATGTCGAAAGTATTGTAATGCGCGTGCGTACGCACACTCGTAAGGTTATATGCTCGCGATATAACTACGGATGTAATTACATCGGAACGAGCCGGAAGTGGAAACGGTCTGGCCGGTTTTGCCGGTTAAACGACTACTTTACACGCTCGATTATTTCAAAGAATTGTTTGAAAGAAACGTTGCTCTTCCCATGAACGATTTATTCATTTGAAAAAATCATTACAGATTACAAATAATCTTATTTAAACGATTCGTACGATGTTGCGCGTCTATGATTATTATGTACGTTATAAACTGATCAATTTTATAAATATTCTTAATATTTTCACAGCATTTTTCAATAAGAAGAATAATACTCTTTTAACATGCCGCCCGTGTCAAACAATAGACAATAGTGAAGTAATAAATTCAGTTGAATAAAAAGCATGTAAACAATTGGAAATAATAAATTTCTAAACGAAATAATATCATAAGATCTGCTTTGAGATGAATGTAAAAATTAAAAGATTTACAAAATCCAAACATTAAATTTGAGGAGAGCATTAGAGAATACAGGGTATATTTAAGACGAAATAATACTGCAATTAATAAATCATCGATAAATTCAAAACTATAGTTATCCCTAATAACGGATGTTTCAATATTATTTGCTTTTTAATATTACTCAAATTGGATACTAATTTAGTTTTAAGTATCCCATAACAATGTAACATATCATTACATTCTTACAGTCTGTTACAAGCGTCAGTTTCGATTTTGTCCGTTAAATCTTCACAAAGTTTGTCTTTTTTAAACTTATAATCTGAATTCTAGAGGCACGTTCCTTCAACTTGTTTCATATATTCTTTTTTTTCTTTTTCCAACATATTTAGACCTTTTTCACTTGTAACGCATTTTAATACTACTCTGTGTATACCTTCTACGATTGCTGCACGCTCTCCTCTTCTTATCTTCGCTCTTTTATCCAAACTATATCCATCGATTGCAATGAAATTTTCGTACACAATATCATTCCAGGATATATTCATTTTATTCGAATATTCTTAACGCGTGAATTGCAAGCAATTATGAAAAGAAGCTTCCCTAGTTACTTATCATACAGACCTACCTTTTCCATTATTCGCAGGAACGATACGCATTAATTAAGTATAATTCACGAAGAACAATTTGGGAAAGGCAATGAATATAAAAATGATTTCAGGTGATGCCTCGGGAGCCCAATTGGGGATATCTGTTGACCGTGCTGCTGCTATTGGTCGGTCTCCGCAAGGTTGGCTGCTCGACATCCGCTCCTCGATATCCGGTCTGTAAACCAGGTCTCGAATTTTGGTCGGTCGAGCATGCCAACTGTTGGCCTTGCACCACATGTGCTCCTGAGTTCACATTGAGCCCCTGCACACTTTATAAGGATGCTATTTGCGGGCCATTCTCAGCTCTCGAGCTCGATTGGTCTTTCCTTTCGGCCAGGAAACGACCGGAAACTGGTCAAAGAAGCCTCGAGGCGGTCACCTCAAAGATGTTGTGGAGGTTTTCAGACTTGGACCAGCAACAGATTACACAAGAGTCAAAGGAGTTTGTTGAGAATACGGAGCAAGATGTCCGTTCGAAAACGAAGGACCAGGTACAATGGAGAATTTGTTGAGTTCTACAGCATTGTTGGTTAGTCGTATTTCGAACAACGACACGAAATTTTCACCGATTCAAAGTTGTTACGTAATCATAACATTCATCGATCATTACTGCGAATGTCAATTCAACGACGAATTTCTAGGTATTGAACGAGCCTCGTTCGAAGAGCACGCCCACTTCAGAAGGGGGAATCCTGTGGGACTGGCAAACCGGAGCGTTGATACTTGCCGTTTGTGCCTGCATTCTCTTTTTTCTTGTCGCAGGATGCTCCGCTTTGGTTTACGCGAGACAGTGGCGTCGGATGAAGAAGAACTTCGAACCAGGTAAAACATTTAACACGTTAACTAACACCTTGCCTTGTAACAACGAACGAGGCTTGCTGGTACAGATTTCGGTGAAGGTGTGAGAAAAGCAAAGATTGTTAATTTCATTCTAAATTTAGTTGTAATTTCACAATAGCGAGAATGATCAAATTGTAAATATACGTATGATACTTTAAATAATAAATAGTTTGCATGCATAATCGGTAAAGGAATCGTAAGCCAAGGGGTTGAACTCCTTTAAACATCGAGATAGATACAAGGAAATTTTATCTCCTGTTAAGCATATCATCTTCCGGTAGACACGATCGAACACCGTATTAACTCTGTAGCTTGCAAACTTTCAACTGAACTCACACGAGACGACGATAATTCGACGAAATTGAATAAAATTCCAATTAAAGTCCGGAGATGAGTAAATGAAGTTAAGTAAAGTAAAATTCGGGGTGAAAAGTAGATATGATAATGCGAAAGATAGAGAAAAGTGGGTTGTTTACCTGATGAAGAGTTCGCGTTCTGGTATTTTGCGCAATTCGATTCCGAAGGATTGATACGAGTTACCGTGGTGGGGGATAAAAAGTCCTTTAAAATGCAAGGCAGATTTTCTTCATTAGAGGGCCGCTCACGACCTCTGCTCACCTTGGCTTGATCTATCACGCCCGGATATGACGTCCCGGTCTTCGATGCTGCTCGTTTTTTTCGCGATGCTCCGTTCCGCGTTCTCTTTACACTCATTCACCAGCTCATCTGGGATCTGTGTGCTTCCATTTCGGTGGCGTTTGTTTCGGTCAGTCGACAATTAGAGAAAATTACTATCAACCTTTCTTTTATTTCGCTTAACGAGTATCCGAACGACTAAACGATCAAGCTAAGGAATATATTCAATTTTTACAGTTCTACACTTTGCGTTCGAGTTTTAATCGCTGCGACATATAACACTACTCGTAAAGGTGTTCACAACTCGTCTATTTTAAAGTACTTTCTTTCTCTTTCCGTATTTCGATCTTCCGAGTGGTTTGTTGACGAAAAAAATTCGTAAGGTTAGAAAATCCGTGCGAAATGCACGCATGGAAAATGTCGAGGACGCGAAAATGTTCACGGAACGTTCGAATAACACCGTGCATGAAATCAGCGCGATCCAATTACTCTTGAGACTCTTTCACGATCCGCCCGAATCTGTAAACCGCAAAGAAATGTTTGCAAATCGCCGTTACGATTTTCAGAAATGAAATGTCGAACGTGTGTTCCACATCGACCATTTCTCTTCCAGCTGTGCGCGATTCGACGAATACGCATGGCATAAGAGAGACAGGTTCAAACGGTGTTACGATCTACAATGAACGTTTGTACGATGTTACTATCCACATTTGCATAACGAGCGTTACGCAGAACTCACCTACGCCGGAACCCTCTCTTTTCCCCTCTATCCTTCCCGATACACCTCTTCCCTCTTCCCCATCTCACTGCCACCCACGCTTCCCGAGGAAACGTACGATCTAGTGATGGAATCCATCCGTTCAATGATTTTCCAATTGTTCGTCCACATTTTTCCCAATTTCTTTCCCACGTTTTCCATTTAATTTAAACAAAATTTAACGGCAATTAAAAAAGAAGAAAATCGTATATATTGTATATTCGCTCGGAACCTCGCGTTCTACGCAACTTGAGGAATATGCATAGATAGGGTAATTCCGGGAGAGACGGATGGACCGGCGGGAGAGACGGACCGGGCAAGTATTTCCTGCATTATCCGGCAAATGTGGAACGCGTCAGTATTCTTCTGTTTTACATTTGTTTTACGGAAAGCGATCGAGCGTGGCTCTCAGTGTTTTTTCTCCCATATCTGGCGGATAATGTGGGAAATACTTTCCCGGTCCGTCTCTCCCGAAGTTACCCTATATCTGCGATTTCACATATTTTTCTTTTTCATTACTTAACAACCAATTTTACGATCACCGGTCAAATTCTTTCCGGAAAAATTACTTATTCAGAAAGATTTTTGAAAAATGCCACACCATCGACACGGATCGCGTGAAATTGTGAAAATAAAGAGAATTATATTTGTATCTATAACGGGGTAATGGTATACGAGCAAAATGCTTATTACAAAGTATACGATGGATAATGGAAGATTAACCTCAAACGATTGGCAACGCGTTAAAAGAAGCCTGGAACAATTTTTACAGAGATTCATTGATATTTTGCGGTTCGCGTATCTCACGCAACGGCCCGCTAACAAGTATGACTTATTTAAAGGCTGTAATAGTTTCCTTACACGATACGTAAATCTTCTGACCAAAAGAAATATTTCACGAGAGAAATGAAATCTCAGCATTTTCAGGACATTTTTATACGTCGTTTAAATGGCTCCAAAGGGTGGAAGAAAGACTTCTTTGATAAAAGAAGCGGCAAAAGACGAAAGAAAATTTCACGTTTAATTTAAAATTTCAAAGTCCATGGTCATTTTAAGGTTATGTTATTATCCATGTTTAAATTACAGTAGAAAGAAATATATTAAAAAGACGACATAACCTTAAGATAAAGAAAACAGGAAAAGATTGTAAAGAAATTTGTCTTCCATTTTATTTTATCCTTTGAAACCATTTTAATTACGTGTGAAAATGTTCTCATACCACTGTAGCTAAAGAAGACAATTAGGTAGCCTGTTTCACGTGGCCCACTTTGTAGATAGATAATTCATACAGAACTGCAACGAAATGTAACGCTAATCAATTGGACATGTGTCTCGAAGGCACACTTGGATTAGAACGCGAAACATCGAACTTGACGTATGTTTAGTCCCATCACTACTAGACGTTTGTGGAGAGCATTCGAATCGTTACTCGGGCCGGTATGAATGAAGCGCTACTATTTTGGTTTCGATACCGGTTTGATGTTGTTAATTCGACGATCATACGTACGATACTTCGCAGAACTTAATGTATTGGTGTAATTGCCGCGTTCCTCTTTTTCTGAAGGATGTAGAACAATCGCGCAAAATTTCTACGAAAATTGTTGTTAGATATTTTCCGTTCGACGAAAGGAAGATAGATTTATTTCAATCGATTCTTGCCAGTCGGGAATTTAATAAAGAAAATTATTCAGAGCTTCTTTGTCAAACCTTTAATCCTCCACTGTTAAAAATGAAAATTGTATTGAAAACACTATTTTTCCGAATGTAAGTTAATCGTGTTTTTCAGAGATTTTTGAAGCATGTAACAGTTGTTCCGGGAAATTTTAATCATTTGAAAAATTGCTTCCGGGAGAATCGTAATCTGAGGATCGTAAAGTTAAATAATTATCAATGCTTTTGATCAATTTCAATGCAAAGCATTTATTATACACGAATGATAAATCTGATAAATCTTGGTGAATCCGTCGCTTTTCAATTGGAACCAGAAGGTATCGTCGGTGTTACTAATAGATTGGTAATACAAACGAATGGTCGCACATTCGGTACCGTTTCATTGCTGGCTCTGCTTACTAAAGGGGACTTACGGGGATTGCCCGCTTCTTCTGTTAGACTCCATTACCTGATTCCCCTACCAATGTTGTTCAACCACAGCCGGGGACAAATTAACGATATTTCTTTTAAACTCAGACCTTTGCAAACTATATTAGGTCATCCCATAAGTCGTGTCGAATTTTTATAATTCAGATCACTATTTAAAACACACTTTCCCTTAATAGTAAAATAAATGTTTTCACACTCGATTTTCTTTCAATAACTTCGTCGTAAAAATGTATACTTGGAACGATCTGTTTTATATAATACGCTGTTGCATGTAAGAGGAACGAGTTTCGTTAGGAACGTTCAATAATTTACTAGTCAAGAATAATTTCGAGTAATGAAAATTCTATGGTAAAAAAGGTATTTGCACATTTACGATCTTTACATTAGGATTGTTCGTATTTATTAGGTTATCGTGTTCAATTTTACAACTTAGATCAATATTTCCAACGTACCGTTAAATTTGATATAGAAAAACCTAGGCGCCTTCTCGTTTCACAACTTTCTCCTATTTTTCCGGTAGAATTTATTTCGAGTTTTATTCAAATATTTGTTGCCTTCGGCACGAACTTACGGGATATGACCTAACATATTTACAGAATGTCTTTAAATTGAATTTTATGGTGAAATTTTCTATCTTCGATTATGAATTTTAAAATATGTCTTTGCTCGTTTCTGCACATTCTTCTAGTCAGAATAATATGCTAGCCATTCTTGGACTAATTCTACGAGCTTTCTTGTGATATTAGGTGAACGGTCTGGCTATTTCTGTATGGAGAGTGACATTTAAGTGGTCTTTTTTTCCTTTCTCTTGACTATTGCGTATAAAAATTTGTGATCGGACAAAATTTATTATACCGTATCAACCTGCCAATTACAGTTGTTTTCAACGTTACAATCTAGGGACTTCCCTAGTAAGAATTTCCCTAGTTTCTATTATCGCCTCTGGTTATTTACAGTTTTAATTTCGTAGAATTAAAGTTTCCTGAAAGAATAACAATTTTATTTGTACATCCTCCTGAATAAAATACAAAGATTTACCATATGAAATTGATTCTATGGAAGAATAAAGTTTCGAAAATTCATTAGAAAATTGTTCAACTATCCTGGAATTTATGTCTGTTGGAGAAATCGATTTACAATTATTCGGTAGTGTATGGCAGTTTATGTGAAAATGGAGAATTTAACAGAAAACGTTCTATTACCAAAAAAATCACGATGAACGAAACGTCTATTTCTTTCCCAACTGAATAGTTTTCCAAGTTGGCTTGTCAGATTGTTCTCTTAAGGGAGAAAAACATGACTAGACCGGAGCGAGGCTATCGTTAGATTTATCCTATGGGGCCTTGAGAAAGCAGAACCGCATTCCATAGTCGTTCAACTCGCATTCCATCCTTGGGTAGACGGTACCATCATTTCAACTTCTCCTGTTAAATTGTCAATTAAACGTAAATTCTATTGCTCGTCTGCTTAATCTTCGAATTTCGTGAAAGCCGAATTTTTTTTTAACACGAGCACACCTTACGATAGATAAAATAACGTGTAACAATTATTTATCTACTTTGGCGTCGAAATGAAATTTCGTTCGCTGAATCATTTGCGTCAGTTTCAATTATTATTATCCTATATTAATA